TACCCAGTACCTAGTATGAATAGACAAATTGAATGTGAACTTAAATATGTATAAAAAGGTGACGTGTATACGTAGAAAATAAAGCGCTTTTATTTTACATATGTGGTAACAATTACAGAATATCAAAATGGCTACTGAAAGTAAATCATTAAAATGGAAAAAATTGTGAGCGTGCAGAAAAAAGAAGTGTGTATTTGTAATTCCGAGAACTCGGGCGTGTTGCACGGAAGGCAGGCGAGCGCTGCGTCCCGGTTGCCTCCCGAAAGAGCTGCACCTCACTTCTGTCTTTTTCATTTGTAACTTTATGTTCAATACATCAAAGTCGACATTTAAATCTAATTACTGCAAATAACAAACTCTTAATTCGTTTGTTTACTAATATATGAAAAAGAATTACCAGCTACTTCATTTTGCATAGCTGGCGCTTTGTTTTGCACGTTTTGCGCTTCAAACGTTACAATAACAAACAGATATTTGAGTTTAATCATAAAAAGTCACTTGTTCGAATAATGAAATCTGTTCTAATGCTGCGGTCGTTTCCGTTAATGGTGTAAATACGTAATGTACGATAAATAACGATTTAGTCTTTATACATAATTTGATAGCTATTTATTGCCATAATAAAGTAAGCCACGGGCTTTGTTTTTGTACCAATAATTTAGGCCATTTGAATGTCGTGTTCGTGACCGCGCAGAGATGTCTGCTCCAAGAAAAGATTCGACGTCAAAGGGCCTCGCTTTTCGAACGGGACCGGAGTGTGCATCCCAGAACTGGGTCAAGCTCGTTTGGTTCTAGCCTTCTCATTGACGACTGCTCTGGCCAAAACACACTTTATTGCGATTCAATAAAGTTTGGTTTTACAACACCGAGACTTGTGGTGTCGGTTCTCTGCTCCCTGAACACCTTCAATATAAATTTGAGCTCTACGAGGAGAACGGAGGGCTGCAAGTCGCCACGTTGCTCGGCTACGACGGAACATCGGCAGCTGTAGCTACACTCAGCCGCCGCCGCTGCCTCCGATTTTGTACCAATTGTTCAGATGTCACGGTTATCGTTTGTTTCTAGCGTGAGCCCGACCCTTGTGACGCACGGAGCGAATAGCTAACATGAAAGGAATAAACGATTCCGGACAGTTACGTTTATCAAGCAATACATAACAATAGATACAGATCAAAAAGGCTTTTAAAGATTATCTTTAGACCCTTTAAGCTACAGATTCCTCGACTGTTTAAAACCTCATCTTAGTATGTAGTTCTGTAATACAGGTCCCCACCTAGCTCAGGAGGCAGAGCCCAATGATTATTGTTAAACTGATCGTATCAATAAAGTGTTTTTATTATTTTTTTATTTTATGTAGTGAAGTCCACTATGCGGGTCGCGGCTAACCAATCAAATCGTATCACACTCTATATACCCTTTGTCATTCGTCACTTCTCACTTCCCTTTCAATCTTGTTGATTTTCACTTTTTTGCGGCTTTTTGTGTCTTTTGTGTGTCTGTGACTGAATGCAGTCAAAGAATAACTGTTCAACAAGTCACCGTTGCACCTAGTATAATATCTCGTCTAAATGAAGCACGTATGACAACGCAAACTCACTCACTGCTCATCAAACAATTTAGTATTTAATTAAGGAAAACATAGAGTTACAGTTCAACGTTCAGTCAGGTTTGTCTTATGGTCAACCTCTTAAGATACTTTGAGTTAGTCAAGTTCAAAGCCAAACTCATTCCTACTTTGGAGGGACAACAAATTTGTAATTTGAAACTGAGTGAAGTTGAATTAGATTTGAATGACTTTGAAACGTGTCCCCACTAGGAGCATATTTTAGGACTTTCAAATGTAATTGTAAATCTGTATAATGTAAAAATAAGCTTAATGTTTCGGCTCCATGGCACCACAATGGTGTCGATCCGGCGCCGGCGCGGAGGCGCATGGGGCCCGCAGTGCAACCGTTTAATGGACATGGCTGTTTCTCTATTTGTTGTAAGGTGGCTCGTCGGGCCCGGGCCGCTGTCCCCACCTGCCCTACCTCCACTTGCGCCTCTGGATGTATCGTACGTGTGCACCTTGCTACTTGCTAGTCTGCAGCGGCGAGCAGCACCGCGCCGCAGCCGCTCGCCGCCGACAAACAGGGCTCTACCACGACACTGTACTTTCGCCTAAAACATACACATTTTTCATTATGATGAACTGCAGACGATAATCATTATCATCCGCCTTTTTCTGCCCACTGCTGGACCTAAGCCTTCCCGAATGATCATCTTTTGAAAGGACAATAATGCCAACATATTACGACTACAACATATTGTACGCAATTATAATTCCCAATAGTAATTAAATTCCCTCCATCACTCTGCAATGTACTGAAGACGAGACGAGCCTTTGATATGACGGTGATGAAGTACACTAAATATTAAACAAAATCGTTTAATTTTAGATTAAAAGAGCTCTGTTTGTTGGCGAATTAGTTTTTAATTTTATTTCTATGTGTTGAAAACAATGTTCAAGGATGATCTTGACCGTTGTGTTGTTTACTTGTGCTAACAATTATCTCTTAATACTGTTGTGTTAACCTTTCCGAACACTGTCATCTAATAATGTGTATAGAAAAAGTAGCCTGATGTTGTCGCCACATTGCCGACACGGAGGCGGACGGTCCCACTCGCGTGTCACAGCATTCTTACTACTTAACTTACGAAACACTTTGATCCACTCATCAAAGTTGAGGCTCAACTCGCACAGACGCAGAGATGAAATGTCGCGGCTCGTGGTGATGCGCTCCACCGCCCGTCCGTCGCGCCCGCCCTGGGCTGGTATCTACCGGGTCCTGTGCATCAGTAACTTTATATATGTCATTTTTGCAAAAAACCTCAATATTGGAAATAATGGGCGACGCTATGAGACGCTCCGCATTATCTCTGGGTCAGTGTGGGTTGTGCCTTGACGTTCCTTTGGTAGTTATGATAATTTCCGAGATCTTTTACTTAATTACATTCAGTAGAAATATATTTAGCTATTTAATACTTTTTGCACAAATATTACAATAAGTATACTACTAATACATTGACGAGTTTAATTTTTTATTCCATTGTTTTTACATAGTTTTGCCAGCAGATAACCCGATGAGACCTTCAACACTCGAATATTGCGTACACTAGTAGTTTTATCCATGACGAGTGACAGGTCCCAGCACGCCTCGTGCGTATATGTAATATTGATATATATTAACTTGCAAACTGTTTCTTATTTTTAATGGAGCTGTGCGAAGAAAAATAAACAAATTATAACGGATGTTTATTTAACGGAACCATTATTTTATTTCCCTGTTTAGTGTATTGTGTGTTAACGTATCACTTCCACTCTATGTTTATCTGATTGTTGTGAAGAATATTTGTTTAGTAAAGCTGCTGGCTGCTGACTTTACGTCATGTTGTCCTTAATTCGAACAATCAGTTTTTTATAATAGTTTTGACAAACTGATGATCCTGAAAAGTAGTATTTACTTGAGTACAGAGCAAGTGTCGTGACCCGTGCTTTTTCCTCAATCACAGAAATGTAAAACGTCAATCATACGTTCCTTACGTACGTATTATTAAAAAGTGTGTAGATAATATTATCTCAAGAATACTTATTGATAGTAATTGTCAACGTTTAATTTGTACCGTAAGGAGATTGCGCAGGCGCACGGCAGAAACAGGCCGCTAACGTACAGTAAACACATTAAACATGATATTATTAAATAATTGTTTGTTTACTGTAGGGCTTTTGAGAAATCGTCATTTACCACATCCACGGGATATTTCTTGCGTATTTTTCCCCAGAGCGTTTTCGACAGTGATCGTGACAGGTTTTCTGTGATTTAACATAAAGGAATCGCATTGGTGTAGGTTCCAGCGGCGGCGGGTGGCGCGGCCAACGCACCCGCCGCTAATTCCGTCTGTCCCGTGCGCGCCTCACACATACAATCGTATAACGGGACTCGTAGGCAATTACTCATTTCGATCTCACCTCTTCCATTCACTTATGAGGGTCAAAAACCACTCTCTCTCTCTGTTGCTTATAAATAAATATGATAATTTCGCATATTATATTATAATATAAGCTTGGTATTCTTAGTCTCATCTTACAATATCATAAATCTCAAAGTTTGTATGTATGGATAGATGTTTGTTAGATGGTATCTCCGAAACGGCTGAATACATCTGGTGAAAACAAATAGGCTCCTTAATAATTTTTTTTAACTCCTCGCGGTCGATGTCGCAGGCGACAGTTAGTATAGGAATAAATAGTGGTAGTCTTCGCCACGTTGGTTTGCAGTAACTTATTCCATCAGCCTTTACAGGAGAATTTATGTAGGTTCAGCGTTTTGTTTAAATTTAACCAATGTTTTTTTAGTTTTCTATAAAATGTGTTGTAGATATCATAACTTGTGTAAGTCCGTTTACCTCCTTATTTCATTCATTATCGAATGTATTCAGTTGTTGTGTTGATGTCATGCCAGTTGTAAGGTTTGTGTTGTTTACGGGAGCCGCGGCTTTGGCTCGCGGACACGCTGCTACATAGTTGGTATGGGTCACTCGCCACTGGCACACTGACACGACCGTACTGCGTGGTGCGCGTATTATTCGCATGATTTTAATTATAGTCTATATAGTCCCTTTTTTGTGTTCTTAGAATGAATTTCGTTTTCTTAAACTAAGTCTTAAGGCTTCGTAAAACTTTCGGGCGGTAACTTTTTGGATTAAAAAAATAAGTATAATATTTTTTTTTGTCATTTTGTACGATTTATTTTGTACGGCACACACTAATTTTCTTTTACCATTCCAATTAAGCTCTAAGCTTGTGCTAGGATATGGACAAATTTGTCGTAGACGACAATAGTCCAATGGCGGGTTTAGAAAGGAATCATAGACAACATCCTCTTAAATAATGTGCCACAAACTATCTATCTCAGTTACCATGCAATTTATAAATAACAATTCTATTTCGCTAAGTAGATTGCGAGGTGTAGTTAATTATTACATACGCGGTTCCTGATCCTGCGGCCGCGGCCTTGCATACAGCCTGCGATCACGTTACGAGGGTCATTACGGCAAGCAGCGAGCTGTCCCTTGCAAAGCAACCGTGATGCCATACGCGGGTTTTGTTATATAATTAGTACGTGCATGTATGGTGAACGATCGTGTTTTTATCTGTCGAGATTGATCTATATATTACAATGATCGGATAGGCATAATAATTGTATCCACAAACTAGTTTACCCACTCCATCCATGGCCCTACCTACCCTCAGGTCATACGCACCGAAAATTAGTTTAGTACAAATTAGGTAAATTAGTATTGTGTGATGGGCGTCGTGCTGCAGGTCATGGCAAGACGCACAAGGACGCGGCGAGCGTGCGCGCCACGCATCCCATTCCCGCGGCGTGCGGTCTCTACTATTTCGAGGTGCGCATCGTGTCCAAGGGTCGCGACGGCTACATGGGCATCGGCCTCTCCGCACACGGCGTCAATATGAACCGCCTGCCCGGTGAGTCCTACAATAACAACACCTACACCTAGACTCTGCCTTTCTAATACATGCTAATATAACAAGGTCGTAGTGTGAAGCAGTGTAACGATGTGATATTTGCGTATGTGGTATTCCAGGGTGGGACAAGCATTCGTACGGATACCACGGCGACGACGGACACTCCTTCTGCTCGTCGGGCACGGGCCAGCCGTAC